TGGAGAGTTTGCATCATTTGGCAATACACATATTAATTCTGTATCTAAGGTATGACTAGGTAGTTGAGGGAGTGGCCTCTGATACCATAGTGTGTTATTGGAGTACAGCAGTTCATGGTCACGACTGTATCAAAAGCTTTACTTAAATCAATGAAAAATGCCCAGCAGGTACTTCTTTCTTTTTCAAGGGCGGTATATATTAGTTCTAGTATGTTATGATAGCATCCATTTGTGCTTTTTATTATTCCTGAATCCAAACTGTACAAGGTTTAATATGTTGTGTGAAACGAGGTAGGAAAAGATCCGTTCATGATTAATTTTTCAAAGATTTTAAGAGCAGTGGTTTTGGTTTTAGATATTGTCTATAGTTATCAAGTCAGCTTGTCACCTCCTTATGGATCGTAGTTGACCCTCGCTATTTTGAGGATTGTTGGGAAGTTAGACGATCAATGGTTTTTAAAGAGCAATTGCAATAATTGGTGACAATACTTGAGAAAGCTTTTATGTACATAAAAGCAGGTCAAGTTGTTTATGTCTCCACCTTGTTTTTAAGGTGTGTATGATGAGCATAACTTCAGGGGTTGGTTTGAGCTTAGGAATAGCGTATTTTGGGTAGGTATATGAGGTAGTCTGATGGACGGGCAGTCTCAGAGCTTTGATTGCTAATTTTTCCTATGGTGGAGAAGAAAACATTAAGTCATTTTGCTGTTTCGTTGGAGTGAGTAGGTGTTCATCTGATTTTGTTATTAGATTTTGATTGCATTGTTTTTGGATAACTTTTTAGTTTCCAATAATTATCAGATAAGTTTTCCAGGTTTTTTTTCATATCACCATTTGATGTATATGTAATCTATTTTACATAAGTAAAATTTTTTTGACCTTATTATGCTGGTAAGTGTTATGAGTAATTTTTCGACAGTTTCAATTATTTTGACCTGATTCTCTGCTGTTTTTCATATTTGTGCTTTGTGTTTAATGGATTGGAGGATCTTGGTGTTAGCCCAGGGATTGTTCAGTCCTCTTTGCTGTGATCTGTTAGTTTTCTGGCGAATGTCTGTTATAGAGGCATTGGGCTTTTTTTTTTAGAAAATTATTATACATTCATTCTATCTGAATATGTTTCAAGCTCATTTTGCCAATCGATTGTTATTCATAGCTGCTAGAAAAGTTTATAACTGCTGTCTTGTTATGTAGTCTGAAGGTTACTTTAGTAATGTCTTGTGGCAGTTTGCCCAGATTAGTTATGAGAAAGGTTGGGTAGTGGTCTGTAGTGTTGTCTGTGATTATGCCTGATTTTAAAGGGGATATGGTGTTTGTCCAGATGTGGTCTATTAAGGAGATGCTTGTCTCGGTGATTCTTGTAGGTTTAGATATTGCTGGTAGCAACAGGCAGTTACTCGTTGTGTTTGTGAATTTGGTTACTTGTGGGTCCTGGTCGTGTAGTATGTTTATGTTGAAATCACCTGTTAGTAGTAGGTGGTCCTTATTCATGTGTGCATCAGTAATCATGTTTCCTAGTTTTTCACTAAAGTGATAAATGTTTGACTGTGGTACTCTGTAGATGTTTAGAACTGTGAGGGGTTTTTGCAGGTCTTTTGATTTAAACTTGGCTATGATATATTCTCCATGTTCATCTCTTGTGCAAGATTTATTGATACATTCGAGTTGATTTGAATAGTATATAGCTGTTCCTCCCCCTTGCTGGTGTGTTCTACAGTTGTGTATGGCCATGTAGCCAGGAATGGTATAGAAATCTGTAATATCAGGCTTAAGCCAGGTTTCTGTGAGTGTGATGATTGATATATTGGAATGAAGGGAACTGAGTAATGCTGTGAGGTCATCATAATATTTGCTCAAGGATCTGACATTGTGGTTAAAGATGGTTATGTCATTGCTTGCACTGAGTAATGTCTTTGCTTGGTCTGCTGTGTAGTAATTACAGTTACTGGTTGATTCGTGTAATTCATTTTGTAAAAAGTTTACATCAGGATCTATGTCTGTAATCATAGGATGAGAGTAATTTTACAAACTAGATTTTCTGAGTAAAATGATATAAGATTTTTATTGAATCTGCAACTTGACTTATGACTAAGACACCGTGATTAATTTAAAACTTGTAAAAATTTGAAAGAAAAAGGGATTATTACAGAACTGATAATTCAGTTATACACTTAAGTATCTAATAGCACCTTAATTATTTTAACAAGTGAGTTTATGAACTACAGTAGATATTTACAGTTAAAATAAAGGAGCTAATGGATGTAATAGTAAAAGAATGTATTAAAAGCAAAATCAGTAGCACAAGTTTACAAGTTTGCCTGTGATACTCCAATATAGAAACTATGTATTGTGCCAAAACAAAAGCATTCACATTGCTAAACTCACAAACTAGTATTTAGTCACTTAGTATCTAGTCAACTTACTCCACAATTTGTAATAATTTAGGGTTAAGAATTAATCTAAGTTTGCCCGAAATGCCTAGCCTTGCAAGGTGTTCTAGTGGCCCCCTCTGTAATTAATATTTTATTACATGTAAACCACGCAATAACCAAAATCTGTAAACCCCACATTGTAATCCTTATAGAGAATAAACTTTGATCTGATTTAATTTGATTTCCATTGTGGTCCTGCAGTCTTGTCCCCCAGGATGCGACCCACACCAGCCGACTAACATCCAGGTAGCAACTTATTGCTAGGTGAACAGGGACAGTAGGTGTAAGGAAATACACTCAATGTTTCCACCCATGCCGAGGATTGAACCATGGACACTTAGTGTGAGGTGAGAGGGTTGCCAACTGAGCCACGGGTCACTGAATGCTGAACTCAGATTAGAGTGCGAGTGATTTGCTCTGCTGGGGCTTGGCGAGGGGGTTCACCTGGTCTATTTATTTCCCAGGCGCTTTATGACCCTTACAGGTTTAGTACTTCTCTGTAAATGTGATTAATAATTATTTCATGTTTAATCTTTATTTTCAGGAGGATGACAGAAACACAGCTGGAAGTGTGTGTTGATTCTTTAGATTCAGCAATAGCAGCTGTTGATGGTGGAGCAGACCGCCTGGAGTTGTGCTCAGCGCTCTCAGAAGGTGGTCTTACCCCAACTCCTGGTCTCCTTGCTGCTGTCAAAAAGCACATTAGCAGACCTGTTGATGTGTATGTTGGCTTACTTTACTGTTTTATGTTCATGTACATATACAGTGGACCCCCGCATAACGATCACCTCCGAATGCGACCAATTATGTAAGTGTATTTATGTAAGTGCGTTTGCACGTGTATGTTTGGGGGTCTGAAATAGACTAATCTACTTCACAATATTCCTTATGGGAACAAATTCAGTCAGTACTGGCACCTGAACATACTTCTGGAGTGAAAAAATATCGTTAACCGGGGGTCCACTGTATTTGGTATACAGGATTGTGTGTACATGTACTCATAACTAATACCTGGAGAGGGTTTCAGGAGTCAGTGCCCTCACAGCCCAGTCTATGGTGGCTCAGGACCTGATCACCCAGGCTGTTACTGTTGGCTGCACACAAACCGACATACAAACCACAGCATGGCTGGTCAGGTACTGACTTGAGGTGCCTGTCCAGCGCCTTCTTGAAGACAGCTAGAGGTCTATTGGTAATCTCCTTTATGTATGCTGGGAGGCGGTTGAACAGTCTTGGGCCCTTGACACTTATTCTGTTGTCTCTTATTGTGCTAATGGCGCCCCTGCTTTTCATTGGGGGGATGTTGTATCATCTGCCGAGTCATTTGCTTTCATAGGGAGTGATTTTCGTGTGCAAATTTGGTACTTATCCCTCTAGGATTTTCTGAATGTATATAATCATGTGTCCCTCCCACCATGGTAGTTTTTTATAAGTAAAATTATACATTTTGTTAGTCCCTAAATCGAAGAAGTGATGACTGACAAAGTTGCTCACACTGTAAAATTCTGTATTGGGATTATCAATTCAAGCTCACATTGGTAAATATGTTTCTTTTTTTTTTGGGGGGGGGGAGTCTCCCTTCTTTGGTGGGAGATGACCACTGAGGTAAATAAATAAATAGATAAATAAATAAACTTTTATTCAGTAACTTTAAAAAAGATGCTTACCACCATAGGAACAGGACCTTTTTATTATTAATGATGATTATCTTTCTTAAATATACTACATTGTACAGCCCCAACACAATGAAATTGCATTTAAATTAATAATTTTATAGATGATTAATTTTGCTGCCAGAGTAGTTAGTTTATTGTGCACCCCATACCTATCCTGTGGACAGTAGCATAAAATGTATGGATATGCAAAGGTTCTAGGAACTAGGCCCCAAAAGGGTTAACTGGAATACGTCTGGATTTACATTGACAGTTGACTTAGCTGTTGCAAGCAAATTTAGGAAATTTGCTTAATATGTTTGGTATCTTATTTTCATTAATAATATATCTTGATGTATCACATAGGTTATTATACAGGCTATTGCTATATTCCTCAATAAGTGGATAATTAAACATTCACTGTTCAAGATAGTGACCATTCCTTTTTTATACTATTCTAACTTCAATAACAAATTTTTATTGGGACATTAACATTTAACCTTTTTGCCTGTAAGCCTAATACAGTGGACCCCCGGTTCACGATACTAATCCGTTCCTGAGAGCTCATCGTAAACCAAAAATATCGGAAAGCGAATCAATTTTCCCCATAAGAAATAATGGAAATCAAATTAATCCGTGCAAGACACCCAAAAGTATGAAAAAAAAAACTTTTACCACATGAAATATTAAGTTTAATGCAATAGAATAGTAATTACAATAACAACAATAATAATAAATAACAATAAATAATGAAAGAATAATTGACACTTACCTTTAATGAAGATCTGGTGATGATTGATGGGATGGGAGGAGGGGAGTGTGTGGATGGTGTTAGCATTTAGAAGGGGAATCCCCCTCCATTAGGACTTGAGGTAGCAAGTCCTTTTCCGGGGTTACTTCCCTTCTTCTTTTAATGCCACTAGGACCAGCTTGAGAGTCACTGGACTTCTGTCGCACAACATAACTGGCAGCCTCACCATGACTAATCACACTATGTATACCACTACGATTCTTAAATCTTTCAAACCAACCTTTGCTGGCCTTAAATTCACTCACATCACCACTAGTTGCAGGCAATTTTTTTACCAAATCGTTATGCAACTGCCTAGCCTTTTCACAAATGATTGCTTGAGAGATGCTATCTCCTGCTATCTGTTTTTCATTTATCCACACCAATAACAGTCTCTCAACATTTTCTAATACTTGCGGTCGCTGTTTCGTAATCACAGTTACACCTTTTGCAAGAACAGCTTCCTTGATTGCCGTTGTCTTGCTCGCTATAGTAGAGATGGTTGATTGGGGTTTACTATACAACCTGACCAGTTCCGACACACGCACTCCACTTTCGTACTTTGCAATTATCTCTTTCTTCATTTCAACAGTCATTAGCACCCTTGGTCTCAAAGGGATGGCACTGGAAACTTTCTTGGGGCCCATGGTGACTTATTTTGCAAAAACAGGCACCAAAAACAGTGATAATATGGATAATATGGAATGTACCGAATGTATCCTTAGATGCACGCACACTGGCTGGCTTGTAAACACTGGCACACACGGGGCAGTTCAGGCCACACATGGACACGTCTCGTACGAACCACATCGCATACCGGGTTTTGTATCAGGAAGCAAGGCAAATTTTCTGCGATATAATGCATCAGTTACCGGATTTATCGGATACCAATAGCATTGCGAACCGGGGGTCCACTGTAACATATTATAAATTAATTACAGAATTTTCATGAAGCTATAATACTGCAGTCATTTATTGTTATCCCAGATGGCAGACTAGACTGTCACTTCTAGATATATCCTGCATTTGGTTACATTGACAAATACAGTGGACCCCCACATACCGTTGGCATCACATACCGTTTATTCCGCATACCGCTCACTTTAATCGCAAAAATTTTGCCTCGCATACCACTCAAAAACCCGCTCATCGCTGTTCGTCCGAGACGCGTCCAATGTGCGCCTTAGCCAGCCTCACATGTTCCGCCGGTGGCATTGTTTACCAGCCAGCCTCCGCGGTAGCATCCAAGCATACAATCGTAACATTTCGTATTATTACAGTGTTTTAGGTGATTTTATCTGGAAAATAAGTGACCATGGGCCCCAAGAAAGCTTCTAGTGCCAACCCTACAGCAATAAGGGTGAGAATTACTATAGAGATGAAGAAAAAGATCATTGATAAGTATGAAAGTGGAGTGCGTGTCTCCGAGCTGGCCAGGTTGTATAATGAACTCCAATCAACCATCGCTACTATTGGTGGTACAGCTGCTGCTGCTGCTGCACTGTCAGCTGCTGCTGCTGCTGCTGCTGTAGCATCGTCTGCTGCTGCTGTAGCATCGTCTGCTGCTGCTGTAGCATCGTCTGCTGCTGCTGTAGCACTGTCAGCTGCTGCTGCTGCTGTAGCATCGTCTGCTGCTGCTGTAGCATCGTCTGCTGCTGCTGTAGCACCGTCTGCTGCTGCTGTAGCATCGTCTGCTGCTGCTGTAGCATCGTCTGCTGCTGCTGCTGCTGTAGCATCGTCTGCTGCTGCTGTAGCATCGTCTGCTGCTGCTGTAGCACTGTCAGCTGCTGCTGCTGCTGTAGCATTGTCTGCTGCTGCTGTAGCATCGTCTGCTGCTGCTGTAGCACCATCTGCTGCTGCTGTAGCATCGTCTGCTGCTGCTGTAGCATCGTCTGCTGCTGCTGCTGCTGCTGTAGCATCGTCTGCTGCTGCTGTAGCATCGTCTGCTGCTGCTGTAGCATCGTCTGCTGCTGCTGTAGCATCGTCTGCTGCTGCTGTAGCATCGTCTGCTGCTGCTGTAGCATTGTCTGCTGCTGCTGTAGCATCGTCTGCTGCTGCTGTAGCATCGTCTGCTGCTGCTGCAGCATCGTCTGCTGCTGCTGTAGCATCGTCTGCTGCTGCTGTAGCATCGTCTGCTGCTGCTGCTGCTGTAGCATCGTCTGCTGCTGCTGCTGCTGTAGCATCGTCTGCTGCTGCTGTAGCACCGTCTGCTGCTGCTGTAGCATCGTCTGCTGCTGCTGTAGCATCGTCTGCTGCTGCTGTAGCATCGTCTGCTGCTGCTGCTGCTGTAGCATCGTCTGCTGCTGCTGCTGCTGTAGCATCGTCTGCTGCTGCTGTAGCATCGTCTGCTGCTGCTGTAGCACTGTTGTTGGTGTGGCTTATTGAGAATATACCAAGAAACAATTAACCCCAGAGGATTTTCCACCCAGGATAACCCAAAAAAGTCAGTGTCATCGAAGACTGTCTAACTTATTTCCATTGGGGTCCTTAATCTTGTCTCCCAGGATGCAACCCACACCAGTCGACTAACACCCAGGTGAACAGGGAAAAATGCCTGGAACTAGTGCTCATATTGGTGAATTTAAAGCCAGCAAAGGTTGGTTTGAGAGATTTAAGAATCGTAGTGACATACACAGTGTGATAAGGCCTGTTCTGGAAGAAAATGCCAAACAGGACCTACAGTACTCAGGAGGAAAAGGCACTCCCAGGACACAGTGTCTCATCAGTCATTGCTGCATCTTCAATAAAGGTAAGTGTCATTTATTCTTCATTTAGTAGACTAGTACATGCACAATATATACTGTGCATGTACTACTCTACTATTGTGCATGTATCCTTCTCTTTGTGTGTAGGAAAATGTATATTTCATGTGGTAAAAATTTTTTTTTCATACTTTTGGGTGTCTTGCACGGATTAATTTGATTTCCATTATTTCTTATGGGGAAAATTCATTCACATACCGATTATTTCGCATACCAATGAGCCCTCTTGCACGGATTAAAATTGGTATGCGGGGGTCCACTGTACAGTGGTCCCTCAATAATTGTCCAGCCTGAAAGTTGTCCATTTCGGAAATAGTCCTGTTTTTTCGTCAAAATATTGGCTCGCAAATGGTCCGGTAACTCGCTAATAGTCCTTCGTTCCGGACGCGTACTCACGCTCTGAGCCGCCTCGGCCTTTCCTTCCCAGCCAGTGTGCCATTGTTTACCTGTGAGCGACGGTCCCCTCATGTGCTCCAGTGAAATATTTCATAATATTCCATTTATTTTAGTGCTTGCAAGTTATTTAAGTGCTAAATAAGCTACCATGGCTCCAAAGAAAGCTCCTAGTGCCAAGCCTTTGGTAAAGAAGGTGAGAAATACGATTGAATTTAAGAAAAACATCATTAAACAATATGATAGTGGCATACGTGTGGGCAAACTGGCCAGGATGTATAACAAATCCTATACAACCATATCTTCCATCATAGCCAAGAAAAAGGAAATCAAGGATGCTGTTGTTGCAAAGGGGGTAAATATGCTGACAAAAATGAGATCACCAGTACTTGAAGATGTTGAGAAGTTATTATTGGTGTGGATAAATGAGAAACAATTAGCAGGAGATAGTCTTATGACGTCGCTTATTTGTGAAAAGGCTAGGCAGTTGCATGACGATTTGGTAAAGAAATTGCCTGCAACTAGTGGTGATGTGAGTGAATTTAAGGCCAGCAAAGGCTGGTTTGAGAGATTTAAGAAGCATACTGGCATACACAGTGTGGTAAGGCATGGTGAGGCTGCCAGTTCGGACCACAAGGCGGCTGAAAAATATGTGCATGAATTCAAGGAGTACATAAACAGTGAAGGACTGAAACCTGAACAAGTGTTCAATTGTGATGAAACAGGCCTCTTTTGGAAGAAAATGCCAAAGAGGACCTACATTACTCAGGAAGAAAAGGCGCTGCCAGGACACAAGCCTATGAAAGACAGGCTGACGCTAATGTTCTGTGCTAATGCTAGTGGGGATTTCAAAGTGAAGCCGTTACTAGTGTACCATTCTGAAAATCCAGAGTGTTCAAGAAAAACAATGTTATGAAGAGTAAATTGTGTGTGTTTTAGAGATCTAATAGTAAGGCATGGGTCACAAGGGACATTTTCGTCGAGTGGTTCAATGAAGTGTTTGGCCCTAGTGTGAAGAATTACCTCCTGGAAAAGAAATTGGATCTCAAGTGCCTCCTAGTAATGGACAATGCACCTGCTCATCCTCCAAACTTGGATGACCTAATTCTGAAGGAGTTTGGGTTCATCACAGTAAAGTTCTTGCCCCCGAATACCACTCCTCTCCTCCAGCCCATGGACCAGCAGGTCATTGCAAACTTTAAAAAACTCTACACCAAAGCAATGTTTGAAAGGTGCTTGAATGTGACCTCAGACACTCACTTGACCCTACGAGATTTTTGGAAAGAACACTTCAGTATTCTCCATTGCGTAAGCCTTATAGGTAAGGCTTGGGAGGGAGTGACTACCAGGACTTTGAATTCTGCTTGGAGAAAATTGTGGCCAGATTGTGTCCACAAGAGGGATTTTGAAGGGTTTGGGGCTGACCCTGATGAGCCTATGTCAGTTGTTAAATCCATTGTGGCACTGGGGAGTTCCATCGGGTTGGATGTGAGTTTGGAGGATGTGGAAGAGTTGGTGGAGGACCACAACAAAGAGCTAACCACTGAGGAGCTGCAAGAGCTTCAGCAGGAAGAGCAACAGATTGCAGCTCAGAATCTTCCTGCAGAGGAGGAGGAAGAGAGATGGAGGAAGGTGCCTTCAGAAATTAAGGAGATTTTTGAAATGTGGGGTAGGATGGAAAGATTTATGGAGAAACATCATCCAGAGAAGGATGTTGCAAGCCATATCGACAACTTGTACAGTGACAGAGTCTTGGCCCATTTTAGGGAAGTTTTAAAGAGATGCCAGAAACAGAGCTCTCTGGACAGTTTTTTTGCGAGACAGGAATCCAGTGACTCTCAAGCTGGTTGGTCCTAGTGGCATTAAGAAACAGAGAAGAGAAGTAACCCCAGAAAAGCAATTGGTACCCAAGGTGTTGATGGAAGGGGATTCCCCTTCCAAACAGTAAATCATCCAATCTGTCTCGTCTCCTTCTCCAGTCTTCCATACACAAAGAAGAATCGCCAATAAAGGTAAGTGTTATTCTGTTAATATTTAATTCATCATGTGCCACTGTATTGTTTATGTGCCACATCTATATTTCATTTTTTTTTAACATTTCTGGGTGTCAGGAACGGATTAATTGAATTTACATTATTTCTTATGGGGAAAATTGATTCGTAAATCATCCATTTCGATAATAGTCCCGCTTCCAGGAACGGATTATGGACGATTATTGAGGGACCACTGTATTTTATTTCCCTTAAAATATTTATTCTTAACCTGTAAATGGTCCAAGCAGATCTACATTCACATGTGTAGTGCTACAAAAGTAGATCTACGTTTTTTTTACATATTTTCAAATGTAACAAAAAAAAAGTAGATCAAAGTTTTTTTACACATTTTCAAATGTAAAAAAACAAAAAGATCTACTTTTTTTACATACTTTCAAATGTTGAAAAAACGTATATACAGTGGTCCCTCGTTTTTCGTAGTTCTCGGGAATCATAGATTTCGGAAATCATAGGGATATTTTCGTATAAACATGGGCTCGCTAATCATAGGTTGACTCGCGAATAGTAGTTCGTCTGGGGCATGTACGCACGGTGTGAGCCGGGGCGGCCTCCCTACCCAGCCAGTCTGGCATTGTTTACCAGTGAGTGAAGGTCCCCTCACGTGCTCCTACGAAATATTTCATAATATTCCACTCATTTTAGTGCTTGCAAGTGCTAAATAAACTACCATGGCTCCAAAGAAAGCTCCTAGTGCCAAGCCTGTGGTAAAGAAGAGCTCACCACTGAGGAGCTGCAAGAGCTTCAGCAGGAACAGCAACAGATCACAACTCAGAATCTTGCTGCAGAGGAGGAGTAAGAGAGATGGAAAAAGGTGCCTTCTTCAGAAATTAAAGAGATTTTTGCTATGTGGAGTAAGATGGAAAGTTTTATGGAGAAACATCACCCTGACAAGGTTGTTGCAAGCCATGTTGGCAACATGTATAGTGACAAAGTCTTGGGCCATTTTAGGGAAGTGTTAAAGAGACACCAGAAACAGAGCTCTTTCCACAGTTATTTTGCGAGACAGGACTCCAGTGACTCAAGGTGGTCCTAGTGGCATTAAGAAACAGAGAAGAGAAGCAACCCCAGAAAAGCAATTGGTACCTGAGGTGTTGATGGAAGGGGATTCCCCTTCTAAACTGTAAACAATCCAATCTCCTCCTCCAGTCTCCCATACACTAAGAAGAATCTCCAATAAAGGTAAGTGTTATGCTGTTAATGTTTCATTCATCATTTCCCATTGTATTGTTTATGTACTACATCTATATTTCATGTAAAAAACTCTTTTGTTTTAATACTTCTGGGAGTCAGGAACGGATTAATTGTATTTACATTATTTCTTATGGGGAAAATTGATTCGAAAATCGTAGATTTCGATAATAGTAGCAACTCCAGGAACGGATTAACTACGAAAAATGAGGGACCACTGTATACATTTGGACCGTTTATGGGTTAAAATTTGTTTTCAGTACATTTTAAAAAATATTCAATATTTTATAGGTACAGTAATATTAGTTCAGTACGTATTCATAAAATTGTACAGTATTACTTTCGTGTACCTACACTTTGTATTATTATTTTATTAACAGGGAATGCTAAACATGTAGAAGTCATACACTGCCTGGGAAATGGAAAGTAATCAGATTTGATCTAAGGAAGGAAAAGGCAGCCTGATTTTTTTATATCATGACCCTTCACTGCTATCTAGGCACCCCTCTTTGTACTGCATTACTATATGAAAAGATTTAATTTCCCCTGTTTCAGTAACTTAAATTTTTTTACTAATATCACATCTGTGTGTTACAATTCCACACAATATTTTTTAAACATTTGATAAAATTACCAGTAATGGTAATTACTGTTTAAGACTTACAGTTCTTAAATGTGCTAATGTATTCTAGGTTTTGCATAGTGCGTCCACGAGCCGGCCCTATGGTGTATTCTGAAGGTGAAGTTGAGGTTATACTAAAAGATGCAGAGATTTTGAAAAATACTGGAGCAGATGGCTTTGTATTCGGTGCACTGAATGCTGATGGCTTAATTGATAAGAAGTTGTGTAAACAATTTAGAGAGGTAAGATTTTTAGTGACAAGGGATGATGTATATATATATTGTGCCAACATGTTGAGGAAGGGAAAGTGTCATTTCAACAAAGAGTGCAGGTACTTCTATCCAGAAGTGTGTAAAGCTTCAACACAGTACAGAGAATGTTATGACCTGAGCTGCCCAGACCACCATATAAAAGGAATGTAGCACTACAGAGAAAGCAGAGAAAGGGAAAATGGACAGCAATCTTTTTTAGACATAAAGAAAAGTGATCAAACCAAAGAAAGAGACAAAAAGAGGGAATGGCACAGAGAGGCCAGATGGGCAGCAAATGGGACATATCAACCCAGGCTTCAGCCCAACAGGGCCAAATAAACAACCAAAGGCAAAGTCGGTACTGGAGAAACCAGGGGCCATACCAGGTAGTACATCACCAGTGGCACTAACAAAACACAAAGCAAGATAAAACAACCCAAATGGTAGCTCCTGTTTCATATTTGCAAATAATCAGGGTTTGAAATCAAATAAAAACGACAAAGTTAGTTATGTCAGTGGGCTCCTAACAGAAGCGAATGCCATGTTTGGAGCATTTACAGAAACACATACAAGGAATGTTTTGGACAGAGATATAAAGATAGAAAACTACGTATAACATGTACAGATGTGATAGAATTAATAGGTCAGGGAGGAGTAGAAGTCTATGTAAAGGATACTTTCTGTTGCACAGAAGTGCTGAACTCTACGAATGATATACACATATGTAAAGTAAAAGGACACAAGTGCAACTAATGTGACATTTTATTGTGACAACGTTTCGCTCTCCAGGAGCTTTATCAAGTCATTACAAACAATACATGGACACAGAGGGTATATAAAGGCTCAGAGTGAGGTGCAATACTAGTGAGGTACCATTTCGATGTTCACTAGTGGTGGTAGTAGTAGTAGTAGTGACAAAAGTAATACAATATGGTAGAGCAATTAATTCGTACATGAGAAAAAGGATATAAAAGCTATTACTTGGGTAACATAAAAATAGGTTGGACAAATATAGACTGGAAAGAGGCAGCTTGTTTCAGTGTTCACTCCTTGTAATTTGCTTGTGTAGTATAACAGGAGAGACTATGTGATGGCAGGGTTTACTGTTTTCAGGAGGATTCTTGCTAAGACTTCGGAGATGGTGAAACTACCATTGTTTTGTTTAATTGTATTCGAAACAGCGATCAGTGCTGATTCAAGGCACTTGTGTCTGCGGAAATTAGTTTCTTTGATCACTAATTGGGCGTCTCTGAATTTCATGAGATGATTGGTGGAATTTCGGTGTTGTACACAGGCGTTGTTCAAGTTATCGTTCCTACATGCGTAAATGTGTTCATTGAGGCGGGTGTCGAGGTTTCTTGCAGTTTCACCTACGTAAATCTTGTCACAGCCTCCACAGGGTATAGTGTAAACTCCTGCATTGACTGGTTCGTGATGCTTGGATTTTGTCCTGGTTAGATCCTTTATTGAAGTGCTAGAAGTGATGGCGACTCTGGTGTTAGCTTGTGAAAGTACTTTTGAGACGTTCAGTGCAACCTGGCTGTCACTAATACTACTACTACTACCACCACTAGTGAACATCGAAATGGTACCTCACTAGTATTGCACCTCACTCTGAGCCTTTATATACCCTCTGTGTCCATGTATTGTTTGTAATGGCTTGATAAAGCTCCTGGAGAGCGAAACGTTGCCACAATAAAATGTCACATTAGTTGCACTTGTGTCCTTTTACTTTACATATTGTCAGTAATTCTACCAACTTTATTACGATATACACGTAGTAGAAATCCTAGGCATTAAAGTTGAAAATAGGAATTTGGTAATTATCCTAGTACGTATACAAACCACCATTGGCAACTGCTGAGGAATTCCCAGATCAGCTTAGGAAAATAGAGAGCTATGTGGATAGGCTAGAAAATCCCACACCAAATATTTTACTCCTTGGAGATTTTAATCTCCCTCATGTAAAATGGAAGATAGCGCAACGTAATGTTATACCAGAAATATCTCCAGGAAGCACCCTGGCTCAACAGGCACATACCAGGGAACTAACGAGGCTTTGTGAGGAGTACTTGTTAAACCAAAATATAATTGATCCCACTGGAAATAAAAATACCCTGGATTTGATATTCACAAACAATGAGGAACTAATCAGAGACATAACAGTTACTAAAACAATATACAGTGGTACCCTGGGATACGAACAGCCCAAAACTCGAACAATTATGTAAGTGTGTTTATGTAAGTGCTTTTGTAAGTGTATTTTTGGGGGTCTGTTGGTAAGCCATGCCTCTATCCATGCTAGAACTTTCATATTCATACTCATATTCATTCATTCATAGAGTTTATTTGGACATGATACATAGTTGTACAAGGAATTATAGTTGGGTGTACATGCCAAAAGCCCCTTGTATGCAGAGCATTATGGGCAGGCTTAAAATTAACTTAAAATTAACAAGCAATGAAAAGTTCACTGGTAAAAATTACCGTAAACAATTTACATCATGAAGTACAATTGAGTATTTGAAACAGTGAAATTTGAACATTTCGATATTGAAGCATTATAGTTGTACAAATTTGTCGCATTACAATGTGTAACAAACAAGATGATCAATTTAAGATTTAAGTAATTGGGAGAATTATTGGTAATGTTAAATATTGAGTGTTGATTATTTAGTCCTGGGTGAGTAAGTGGCTGTTTAGAAGAGTCTTAAATTGATTTTCAGGCCTGGTTACTTTAGTATGTTCTGGTAATGAATTCCAGATTTTGGGGCTTTTTATGTGCATAGAGTTTTTACACAGTGTGATATGGACACGGGGTACATCAAAAAGAGATCTGTATCTTGTGTTATGGTTGTGTATCCTGTTAACCCTTTCAGGGTCCAAGGCCCAAATCTGGAGTCACGCACCAGTGTCCAAGAATTTAAAAAAAAAAAAATTTGTTATTTTTTCTTATGAAATCGTAGAGAATCTTTTTGTGAAGGTAATAAAACAAAAAGTACGAAATTTGGTGGAAAATTGACGAAATTATGCTCTCGCGAATTTTGATGTGTCAGCGACATTTACGAATCGGCGATTTTGCCGACTTTGACTCCTATTTTAGGCCAATTACATTATTCCAATCAACCAAATTCTTAGCTATTTTACTAGTATTACTTCTATTCTATCGATTGAGCACAAGAAATCGCCAAGTCAACTGTTTCAACTACAAAATAAAGTGATCGGAAATTGTTAATTTGGCCAATTTAACACAAAGTTCAAAATATTCCAATTTCAAAATAGGGTCCAGAATAAACAATGTGGGCATTCCTGGCACTAAACTAACGTTTCCTCTGTTCATTAGTTATGTTTTGAGGCTTTACAAATAAATTCCATTTTGATTTTTTATTCACATAATGAATTTTTATTCACACCAAAAAATAGAAGATTTACTGTTATGCAATACTGTAATAATTGTATAAATATCATCACCATATTTGTGAATGTATATTAGACCCACCAGCTGACGTGTATTAGACGTGTGAGGTCGTTTGTTTACTCTTGAATATCGGCAAAAATTTAACATTTCCGCTACTTTGAGCTCAGTTTCAAGCCATTTCCAGTGCTAAAACCAATCAAAATCATCTCTATTTCTGTAATATGTCTTCCATTCTATCAAATGAGACCAAGAAAACGCAAATACAACTATAAAAAACATACGAAAAAACACTGCAAAGTTGCTGTTTTAATCGAAAAATCATGATTTAAGTTTTTTTCTCTCATTATACACAGTGTGCTGCAGGATCTGTTTTATGTGGTGCACATATACCACATAGATGTATTCTCTCATATCTAGGCCCAAATGTACCACTCACAGTTTATCAGAGTGAGCTGAGCTCATGGCGTAGATCTACGGTTTGGACCCTGAACATAAAGCCGTAGATCTACGGGACGGACCCTGAAAGGGTTAAGGTTGGTGACAAGAAGTTTGAGTGGAGGGTTTATGTTTGCATGTATTGTTCTGTGTATGTAGTAGGCACATGAATAAGTGTGGATGTTCTTTATGGTGAGCAAATTTAGACTTTTGAATAGAGGTGGAGTATGCTGTCACGAGTGGGAATTTATCATTCTGAGCGCAGCCTTTTGCTGGGTTATTAGCAGCCTTAGGTGATTTGATGTCGTTGATCCTCATGCACAAACTCCATATGTGAGATAAGGGTAGATGAGTGAATGATACAGTGCAAGGAGAGGTGATTGTTTAACCCATAAACGGTCCAAGCAGATCTACGTTCACATGTGTAGTGCTACAAAAGTAGATCTACGTTTTTTTTACATATTTTCAAATATAATAAAAAAAAGTAGATCTACGTTTTTTTACACATTTTCAAATGTAAAAAAACAAAAAGAAGATCTACTTTTTTTACATACTTTCAAATGTTGAAAAAATGGATATATACGTTTGGACCGTTTACGGGTTAACATAGTACCGTATCTTTGATAGTATGCCTACTGTCTTAGAGATTCTCTTGGAAATTTGTTGTATGTGTCTGGAATTTGAGGCTACTGCCTAGGTGGATTCCTAGGAATTTTCCGTCTGAGTCTTGTGATGGGTGATCCATTTAGTGTTACGTTAAGTAGAACATTTGCAGCTCTGGTTCCAAACTGAATGAAATAGGTTTTGTCCTATACCATGAGCTGCCACTTTTCTTAAGAGTCTCTTGTGAGGTACTCTATCGAAGGCTTTACTAAAATCCAAATAAACAATATCATATTCTTTATCACTGTCTACTGCCTCAAGTGTTCTATTGAAGAACGTCGGTAAATTTGTCAGGCAGGAACGACCTTTCGTGAACCCATGCTGAGAATCATTAATCAAATTATGCTCTTCAAGGTGTCTTCTAATAATGTCAGCTCTAATTGATTCTAATAATTTGCCCACTTTAGATGTCAGGCTTATTGGACAGTAATTTGAAGGAATGGACTTATCCCCTGATTTGAATATAGGAACCACA